TATGATTTTAATTTTAAAATTAAAATAACTTATTAATATTGATTTCTATTAATATAAAAACAACTCATAATATAAAAAATAAACTAAATTAGATATACTTTAACAGTAAAAATATTTTAACTATTTATATAGTAATTAATATAATTAATAAATAAACTTATATTATTTTAAATAATGATAACTTTATTTTTAAATATTTAAAATATATTAAATTATATAATAAATAGATGAAAGAAAATAATATATAAAATTAAAGGGTTTACTATATGACAATAGATTTTATTTAAGTAATAGAAAAAATAAACATAAATAGAGTTTTTAAATAAATAATACAAAAATTTTTATTTTGGCACATAAAATATTAATAATTTTTTATAGTATTAAATTAATCAAATTGAAAATTTGTATAATAAATAAAAAATAAGAAATCATTATAAAATAAAAGTTATTTTAAAAAATATATTAGATTAAATATATAATTTTATAATATTAAATAATCTTTTGTAAAATTTTTATAAAAATAATTAACTATAATTTATTAAAATTATATAAGATTATTTTTTATTTTTTATGTATTTTTTTTAAAAAAATTGGCCTAAATAGAAAAATAAGACAAAAAAATTATTTATGGCATTTTCTACTTTTTAAAATATATATATATATATATATATATATATATAAAAAGTATTAAATATAAATTTAATTTTTTTTATATAAATAATAGTTATTTTATATTTTATAATAAATATAACTATTTTTAAAAACTTTGTATTGCTCTTTTTCTGTATTTTTTTTTTAATTAAGAGTCAAAAAGTTAAAATTTAATATTTTATAACTATTATATACTACTTATATATTATTTTTAATATTTTGATATCCTTTAAATCATTTAATTATTTATTATATTAAAATAAAGCTATTTTTAATATTTATTATTATTTCTTTAAATATATAAAAATAAGTTTGAAATTTTACATAAATTAAATCTAGGATATAAATACAAAAATATTAAGTTTTATTTAATATATTATAATTTAAACAATTAATTAAAAATAAAACAAAGCAAATAACAAATTAACTAACCAAAAGAAATAAATAAAAATTAAATACTAATAAAATAAAAATATAAATAATAATAAAAAAAAACATCCAAAATTAAAATATAAAAAAAATAAATCCAGAAAACAAATGGACTTAAAATAATAAAATAATTATCCTGAATTACAAGTCCAAAACAACCAAAAACTCCAGCAACCTAATTCTTAAAAGCCTTTAAAAAGTTGGGAAATCCGTCGTTTAAACGAGAATAAATAATAATAAGAAAACTACAAAATAAAAGATTTAAAAAACAAAACAATAATAAGATAAAATATAAGTGGCTAATAATTACAGATAGACTCTTGTAGAGATTCTAATATCTATATTTTTGATTATTCATCATAAATATTTATAGATGACTGTATAAACTGTAAAATATATATAGGTCCATGTAAAGGTAGTGTATTTGTTCGTGATTCTAAATCATGTGAAATGATAATAGCATGTCAATAATATAGAACTAGAGATTGTATAAATATAAAAACTCTCCTATATTGCTAATCTCGTCCTGTAATAGAAAGTTCAAGCGAAATGTTTTTCGGTTGTTTTTATTTTGCATATCCTGATTTAAAATAATAATTTTAAAACGCAAATTTACCTGTTTGGAATAATTATTGGAGTGACATACATGACTTTACAAAAAATAAGGATGCTTTAAATTATTAATACTTAGAAGAAGATAATTATTTAGAAAAATATGACGAAAATAATACTTTATGTAATTAAAAATATTTCGAAAATAAAGGGAATTTGTGTGTACCTTTAAGCCATGGATTAAGAAAAGCTATTATGATAGATAATGTTTTGATTATGATTTTTCCAGAAATTACATAAAGGATGTAGGATGAATTAGTAAGGAAATTTAATTAACATGAAGACATTTTCATTTTGAGAAGTACTAGTTTTAGTATTCATTTAGATGAAAGATAAGATATACTTTTTGATAGGAAATAAAAATAAAATTTAAATAATAAATATTAGTTTAATGGAGAAAGTTTATTTTTACATATTGGAGGAGCTAATATATAAGAAAGTTTAAGGGAATTATTTAATAAAAATGATTATTATATTTGGGAAGATTAAGATGTTATTAATAGTAATTGCAAAATTATTTTTGAAAATTGGGAAGATGAAAGAAAAAATTGATTTTTGTTTGTATATTTTTAAAATAAATTAAGTTATTTTTTTAAAAAAAAATAGTGTATATATAGTTAGATTTTATTTCTTTTTATTATTTATAAAAAATATAAATTTATTATTTATAAAAATAAATGAATAATTAAAACATATGAATAATAGATAAAATTGTATAATATATATAATTATATATATATATATATATTTTAATAAAAATTAAATTTTATTTTTATTTATATTTTTATTTTTATTTAGTTTTAGTTTTTTTTTTATTGGTTTTTTTTGTTCAATCTTAATTAAGATTTCTTTTATCTTTTTCTATTTCTTATTTCTTTTTTTTAATTTTTAATTAAAAAATTATTATTTATATTTAAAATATAATTTTAAATACCTATTAATTAACTAACATTTAAATATAATTCATTTATTTTTCAGCAAAAAATATTGGTTTGTATTTAATATCCTTTTATTTTTGTTATTTATTATTAAAAATTTAAATAATGAAAATTATTTACTTTTTAATTCATAACAGAAGACGATTAAAAATGTTAAATTAAACTTTGACAACCTTAAATTCTAGCATAGCATAATTAGCATATCTTTTTTTTTTATATAATAAAAATGTTAAAATATATATATATATATATATATATATATATTATTTTTACTTTTTCAGAGTTGTATTTTTACCATTTTGTATCATTAAATTCCTAATAAAATGCCTTTATATATTTGCTATCTTTAAAATTAATAAAAGCATATCCCACATTACATTAATTCTATTATTTATTTAATATAATAAAATAAAAAAAATGTACTGTAAAATCAATTGGAAGATAAAAAAAATCATAAGTCCCACTATGGTTTTTATCAATAGCTTATAATAATTAATCCTACTCGTATTTATTTGGAATATTTTTAATCATAATAGTAGTTCTCCCATCCTCAATTATCTTAACAAAAAAAAAAATTAATAAAAAAAATATATTTATTTACCTTCGATAAATCAATTTTATAAAAATTTGAATTGTCAGAAACTGTATGTCTATGATGACCTTTAGTTTTTTTCATTTAGTTTTGGAATTATTATTAATATAATTATTATTATTGCAAAAACTAAAGTTATTACTAAAAATTATTATTAGTAGGTGCTAAAGGTAATACTTATTAAAAGTCATCCTATTGATAAAAACTCTAATAAGGATTTTAAAAATTCTCATCAATTTTATTTTATTATTTAAATATATTTTAATCTGGAAAGTCAAAAATTAATTATTAAGGATTTAATTAATAATTATTAATCTTTATTTTAAATAAAAATAAATATAAATAATTATATGTTATTTACATAATTCTATTTTACTCTATTATCTATTGCCCCATCTTCTGTGCACACTCTTATAGGCTTATTTATTATCTTATTTATTGGAGAAAAGTTTGTATTATGAACATAATCATCTTTGGGTGATTTTATTCCATAACTTTTTTTGCTTGAAGGATCTTTATTTTTATTTTTTTAAAAAAATATATATATTTAAAAAAATATTAAAAATTATTTTATATTTTTTAATTTATTATGTATTATTTTTGTTTTATTAAAAGAAAATAAATTAACAATTTTCTTAATATTTTTAAAAAGAATAAAAATTAATAATTTTTTTTGTTAAATAAATATGAATTATATAAATGAGTTTAAATAATAAATTTAAAAAAAATATTTTATATGTTTTTTTTATTATTTTTAAATTATTTACTTGTGCTTAATGTTTTTACAGGTTCACCAATAGTAAACTCTTCTAATTTTTTATAAATAAAATCATCTTAATTATTATTATTTAAAAAATTAGTTGGGGAATAAACAATCTAGTTTAACTAAAGTACTTTTTTAACTTTACTAACATTAATTTTTTTTACTTCATTTTCTTATAAAATTTAAGAAGGATTGAAATTCGATTAAAAAGGTGAAAATTATTATGGTAATTTTTGTTTTTCATCTATTTTTTAATTAATTAAAACTTCTCCATTTTTTTTCGAATATCCTATTGGCTCAATTTTATTAGTATTCTAATTTTTTTAGTCTTTTTTAATTGTTAATTTATTATCTTTTTATTAGTTTTCATAAGAATTATTAGAAGAAGTTGAAGTTTTATTTTAAGAAGTAATTTTTGGACTGTTTTCAGATTTTTTTATAAAGCATTTTAGTTTTGATATGTCAAGTTTAAACATATGTATGTTATCTTTTTGCTATTTTTTTTTTATATAAATTTAATATTGTTTATTTTTTTAAATAGATTTAAATTTTTTAAGATAACATTTATTTAATTGAAAAAATATAATGCTTAATTTTTAAAACTTTTTTTTTTATTTTATAAGAATTTTAATTGTAAAATTATAAATAATATATATATTTATATTATCTTTTTTATAAAAATTACATCTGTGTTTTAATTTTAGATATTATTAGTACTCATTTAGATTATTTTCGTTTTAATTTTTTTTTTGATTTTGTTAAGTTTTTTATTTTTTTTAAAAAAAATGTTATAAAATAATTATTTTTTTAATATATATTAAATTTTCTGTTTTAATTAATAATAAGTGTTTTTTATAATTAATATTTTTTATTTTCTTTATTATCCTTTAAAAATTATTTTAATATTTTTTTTTATTAAATATAGAAAAATAAATAGAAAAAAATTAAAACTATTTTATAATATTTGGTTAATTATTATTTTTTAATATTAATTTTATTTATAATTTAAATATTATTTTATATAATATTAAACTAAATATTTATAATATTGTATAAAATTTAAATAATAAATAAAATAAATATTAAAAAAATAAAAAATAAATAGAAAATAATATAAAAAAAAAACCATATCAAATATTAACTAAATTATTATTCTACAACATATACTCCCAAAATTAAACTTTCTAAAAAAAAAAATTTAAATATATATAAAATGTAAATATATATATATATATAAATATATATATATAAATATATATATTATAATATTAATTATATATTTATATATATATATATAAAATAATATTTAAATTATTTTTTTTATTTCTTTTTATTTTTATAATTTATATTTTTTTTTTTTATAATAATTTATAATTAAATTTATAATATTTACAAATTTGTTAAATTCCACTTCATAGTTTGCGACTTATTTTATAGTTTAATAATAAACTTATTCTTTTTCCGCTTTAAACTTATCAATTTCTACATGCCCTAAAAGTACTGTAAATATATCTATAATAAATCCTATTGACTTTAGTTCTGCTTCATTTTAATCAATTTAAATTTGTATATATTAGATATTCTCTTCTTTAGTTTTTTTGTGAAAATATTTTTTAAAGTACTTTTCCCAGCCATAATTTTTTACTAATCCAACTTCATATCTTTTTATTTAGACTCTAATTTATTTTTAGTTTAAATATATTACTATCTACTATCCATGCACTCAATAAACGCCATAACATCTCTTTATTCTTGTTTTATTAGTTCATAAAGTTTATAAAGTTAATTATTTTATAAAAACTCTTTAAATTAAGCCACCATTTAGTTTTATTTCTCGTCTTAATTTTATTAAAAAATCATTTTGCCTTCTTATAGAACACCCACATATTCTTAAAGACAATGATTCTCATATTCTGGTAATAAATAAGTAATACAACTTTAAACACTTTCATTATCTTTTTCTCTACTTTTTACTGCGTTTTTGGCCATTTACTTATAGTTTTCTAACATTGCATTTATCTTTTTTAAATAAACGTTAAAGTTATCTATTTTACTTTCTATCGAACTATTTATTTCCTTACCGCTTAATTATTTAAAATTTTCTTAATATTTTTCGATAATTTGTTGATTAGTTTATTATTCTAATTTACCCAAAATTTTGTCAAGTTCCGATTTTTCTCGAATAAAAATTTATGTTTCCTCATTATACCATAAATATTACAATTATGACAATCTAATTAGAAATTACTCTAAATTTAATCTTCTGTCTTCTATAAAAGCATTATCCATATTCCCAACAACCTTTTTAGGAGGAATTGGAGGAATAAAACATGAAGGCCATCTTTATAAAAGTGTTTTACGGAACATATCAAAATCACTAAATCTTCTTTATATTTCAAAGTTACCTTTCTTTTTATTTATATATATATTTTTTAGATTTTTTTTTAAATTATTACAGAATCTTCTCCTTTTATTGTATATAAAATATATTTTTACATTCCTCCGTCTTTTACTTAAGGATCTAGTACTTATACTTAAATCTTTTAATTTTTTTATTTATAATTGGGTGTTTTTTTATTTACTTTAGATTAATCGTCTTCTTGTAATTATTATTCTATACTCATTATCTTTTTCTTTGTTTTTTTTTAAATTTTTTTTTTTTTATTATTATTATTGGATATTTTTTATTTTTATTTTTATTTTTTTATAATTAAATTATTTATTTTTAAATATATTTTATTTGCTTTAATTTTTTTTTTTAAAAAGATAAATATAATTATTTAAATTTATAATATATGAGTTTTTCATCTAATAAAAATAAGAAAAAAAAGTCATTTTTTTTTTCATTAATATTTTTTTTAAAATATTAATTTTATAAAAATAAAATAAAAATAAAAAATAAGATTTTTATTAAATTTATCATATTATTTATATAATCCTCAAAACATTCCTTATTTATCACGTGCTACTACCCTTACTTTTTTCTCAAAAGTAGGATTTGATTAAGGCACTTTTTATTATAAATAATTTGCTGATGAAGGTTATTATAAACTTTATTAGCTATCCTATTATTATTATTATGAATAAAATTGTGTTTATTACTAACTACCTACAACTTATTATTACACAGGAGTTTATTATTACTAAAAATTAGGTTACTATTATTATTAAGAAGGTCTTTAATATTATTAAGTTTAAAATCTTTATTAAGAATTAAAAGCAGAAGGTAAATTTTATAGATTTCTTTAATTAGGTACTTATTAAGGTTAAGGGTTATTAGCTGTCATGGTGTCAAATAATAATTCCGCATCATTATCATCAACAAACTAATTAACAATATTCTAATTTTATTATTAAGAACTTGTATTACTTTATTATTTTTATTATACTTATTATTATAATGGTAATTATTAAGGTTATTATTTTTAAGGTTAAAATGTAGTCTATTATTATAATTAAGGTTATTATTCTTGGGGTTAAAATAATTGTTATTGTTATTATTATAATTATTTATTATTTTTATTTGTAAGCATTTATATTTATGATAAATATTAATTATTTAAATTCGTAAGTTCCTATATTTACTAGCTTTGTTAGTTAATTAAGTTTTATTCTTCTTTAATTTATATTTATAATTAAGAGTTTAAATGTCTTAGTTGTTCCATTTCTTATTATAATTAATTAATTTATTATGAATTTTTGTAATTTTCTTATTCTTATGTTTATAATTGTTAGTTTAATTATTAATTAATTAAATTATTATTTTAAGTATTATTTTAAATATTATTTGATTCTTTTTAATTTTAAAGTATATGTATTTGAGATTCCAATGTTTAGATTTTGTTAAATATAAAATCTTAATTTGAATTTTTATTTTAATTTTCTTAAATTTTCAACTCGAAATTTTATTATATATTTTCAATTTAAATATCCAATTATTATTTATATTCTAATAATCTTTAATCGAATATTTATTAATAATATTCTTCAAATTAATTTAATTTATTTTAAATTTGACTATTTAATATATTTTCGTCTTAATTTTATTAATTGTAACTATTTATTTATTATTAAAGATTTTCTATATATTATTTTTATTCACTTATTTATTAATTTAAACTCTCTATTTATTATTATAATTCTAATATATTTATATTTATTTTTTCATTATATAATTATTAATTTTAATATTCATTATTATGTTAATTATTATTAAAATCTTAATTATATACTAATTCTTATTCTTTTTAATAATACTTTTATTAATCATAATGAAATTCCTTTTCATGTTTATTTTATAAACTTTTATAAGAATTTTTATCTGAACTCTACTTTTGTATTTATTAAGGACTTTATTCAACTGAGGCTACTTTTTACTCATTCTATTATTAAAATTGTTAATATTGGTTATAAGTATTTTATTGATTTTAGTTTTGTTTAAATAAATTAGGTTATTGCTAATTTTATTAACTCTAAATAGGAATATTGCTTTGTAAATTCTATTTTGCTTATTAGCTTTCTTCCTAATTATATTATTATTATTATTATTGCTATAAGTTTTATTAACAATAAGGTTGTTATTGTGAAAATTATTAAACTTAATTTACTTATTATTATACTTAAAGTGGCTATTAAGTTGCTTATTATTATTAAACTTAAGATGTTTATAAAGCTGGCTATTAATGCGTTTATATAGGTTTTTATTAAGGCATTTATAAAGGTTATTATTATTGGACTTATGGCGACTTTTATTAAACTAAAAGTGGTTATTATTATACTTAAGGTGGATATTATTAAACTAAAGGTGGTTATTATTATACTTAAGATGGCTATTATTATACTTAAGGTGGTTATTATTAAACTAAAGATTGTTATTATTATACTTAAGGTGGTTTTTATTATGGTGGTTATTATTATACTTAAAGTGGCTATTATTATATTTAAGGTTTTTATTACTATATTTAAGGCGATATTTAAGACGTCTATTATAATACTTAAGGCGGTTGTTGTTAAATTTAAGGTTATTATTATTAATTATTAATTTAACTTAATTATTTTACAGAAGATACAGATGGACTCTATTATTATTAATCTTTATTTTACTATTAATTTACTTCCTGTATTTTATTTTCTTCTTAATTTTCAACAGGGGGCATAGGTGGTACACCTAAATTAGCCTATTAATTATTGCTTGCAATTTGATTAGTTTCAAAACTTGGAGGTACATACCTTGATTTACCCATCAATCTAGCATTAGGTACTGGATTATTTTAAGGAATTGGCCTTTGGAAAGGATTATTAGTATGAACAGGATTATTTACTTATTTAATGATAGATTAAGTATCTATACCTAATTTTGAAGCAAAATATTCTTCTGTAAATTCAGAAGCTTTTAGGTTTATAAATTCATTAAAATCAATTTTTTTTAAAGTAAAGTGAGACGAACATTATTGTTTTTTTGACCTTTTATCCTCATTTTTAAAAAGTTGATTTTTTCCCGATAATCGCGTGATTATTCATTTTAATTGAATAAATTAAATACATGATCTTCTATATCAGATGATATTTATATTAGGTTTTCTTCGGTCGTTTCTTAAATAGATTCTTTTAGGGCGTCTTATAAAAATTTTTAGGCATTTTCTCTTTGACGTGATTTACTCATTTTTTTTTTTTTTGATTTTTGTTTTTTATGATTTGATAATAGGTTATAAACGTGTGAATTTCTATTTATTTATTTTTTATATATATATATATATATATATATTATATATTATTATTTATTAATATATATATATATCTTTTTATTTATATGTATATAAATATATTTTAAATAAAATTATTTTTAATGTATTAATAAAAATTATATATTATTTTACTAAAATACTTAAATACATAATTTAAATTTATTATTTTAATAAAAATGATTATAAAAAAATTTAATAAATTATTTTTAAATAAAAACATAATAAATATTCACCCTAAATTTTTCCTTTTTGATTTTGTAAAATAAGCAGGATTATAAGAAAAACTATAATTTTTAGATAAAAAAATCATAAAAAAATCTCAATAAAACAATATTATATAAAAGGAGAATTAATAAAACAATTAAGAATTGTAATTTGATTATAATTAACACACATATCATTACCCAGTTTTTGTTGATAAAATAACTATTATATTAGAAAAAATTCTATTTTAAGATAATAAAATTAAATCTATGATAGATTGTACTCTGGGTTCAGCCGGTCATTCAAAGCGTTTTTTAGAAAAATTCGATAATCTTTATATGTAAAATGAAAAAATTATTATTTAAAAAAAAAAACAGATTAGGTTTAGATCTAGACTCTAGAATGATACAATTTGTTAATGAAAATATATAAAATTAATTAAAATAAAGCTAAAAAGAAAGAATTGTTA